TGGGCGGACGAGGGCGCTATCCATTATGCCAGCGAGCGAATCTTACTCTCTCACCTCAATGACTTCAAAACAGGTAAAAACCCTTCAGCCTCGCGGTTCACTGCTAGTATCGGCTAAGCGATCCATCAGGTAAAAACTTGCGATGGGTATAAGGCTGGGGCACAAAAAGCGTTGAGCTGGGAGGGTAGAGCGGCTTCGGTGGCTTAATGGATAGCGCACTCGTTCGATCAGCGGGAGATGCGGGTTCGAATGTCGTCTGAGGTCTAACTCAGCACTCGTGTGAGCGAGCACCGTGGGAACACCAGTCATTAAACTGAAACAGCTGATTCAAGCGTTGAATTCGACAGAACATAGCTTGGATCAACGAACCGGTTACCCTCCTGTACCAGGAGCAATTTGTACCAGGAGACAGGAGCAATTTCATGCTTCGTTATTCGATAACAGCAATCCCACATTTTGAAGTTTAGGGCAAGGCTGTGTTTATGCCTTACTTTGATGAAGCGCGGAATGGGCAGGTTTGATAGTAATCGCTCTACATATACTCCGACCTGTCCCTGTACGTTTCAAGAGAACAGGGCACAATACAGTCGTATATATTCCTCTTTTCAAAGCCGCCATTGGCAACTCTCGGTATGGATGTGTTCCAACGTATAGTGCGTTTGATTTGTGTGTTTAGGGCTCATCGCCTTCTCGGTGTATGAAAAATCAAGGAGCGTGTGACGTTGGGTAGATCAGGGTCGAGAACTGTCGGTCCTTGAAAGGCTAGGGTGCACACGAACACAATATGTCAGCAATCTTCACAAAACTAGAACAACTTACCTTAGCTTTCTTGCGATCTTCAGGAGTTTTTGACCGACGCATAAGAAAAGAATGCTGATTAGGTGGCTCAGGTGGGAGGTCCTCTTTCTTTATAGAACATACCTGAAATGGAGTCATCTTTGACGCTCAAAAGACGCATCGCTTAGGCCGGGGATGCTGAAAGGTCGCCACTCTAATCAAGATTTTCTTACCGCAACAGCGTCCCTCTCCTTTTCGGCCTTCTCAGTTTTCTCAACACTTGTGCTTCTTTCCTGCTTCTGTTTCTTTTTCTTCTTACGTTTTTCATCCTCGCTGAAACGGTTTTTCGAGTAGAGCCGATAAGTGGCAATTCTTTGAAGTGTTGAAAAAAACACGTACCTCTCTGAAGAGTCGCTTTCTGAAGAGCTACTGCTCACTTCCTTTTTTCGTTTTCTCACTAACTCTCCGCAGTTCGTGATGATCACATCGGCAACTGGACAAGACCTAGCATTTACTTTGAGATGCTCTATTTCAGTCACAACTTCACTACCAGAGATTACCTAAATAATCACACTCAGAAGCAGAGGTAGAAAATGTTGAAGTACGTAGAGCTATCTCAATCGAAAACATTTGCACCTTCGAGAACAGCACTGATTTTAAGAACATTGGGTGCCAAGGTAGTTCGGAGATGGGTGGGGCACAAGCTGTAGCGCGACCAAGTCGGGGTCCTCTGCTTTCTGCTACGTCTTCTTCACTGCGGACACAGGAGGTGCCAGGTGGCGGTTTTGGCGTGGCGCCAGCTCGTTTTCCCAGTGCACACGTCAACAATAAACAACAAACGGACTGGCGCCGCGCCAAACTCGCGCCTGAAAGGTCCTGGCACTCGTAACCCTCCTCCTCCTTTGGCTACCTTAGCGCCCAAATATGAGGCGAACCCAAATTTAAAATTTACAAGCCCGACTATACCTTGCCGAAGACCACGTGTTTGTTATTCAGATGCGGTGCAGGCTTTGTTGTGACGAAAAACTGAGACCCATTGGTATTTGGACCCTGAAAACAGTATAATTGAAAGAGTGAAGTGTTAGGAAAGCATCAGCGACTAATCTGAGCCGAATCCTAGTTTTGCAGCGATATAGCTGACCTTGTTCGCCATTGACAGAAGGAAGGGTTGATCATGTTTGAGTATAAAAGGTTCGTCATCAAATAATCCTCCATAGATCGATTCACCACCAGTTCCCTTGCCGGTCGTGAAATCACCACCCTGAAAAAGCAAATATAGTAAAAGTGGTAGTCTCCTTAGAAGGCTCTTCCTATAAATACTACAGAAATGGTGTGAAAGTAAAAACAAACAAGTGATCGGAGTCTAAGGCTGTTTAGCAAATAATTTATAGGCGCTTGTCGAATAAGGGGGTAGAAGCATTGTGCTAGTCTCTGTTAACACGCCAGGCCATTTTGTAAAGACCTGTAAGCTCCTGTAGAACTACAAAACATACCAGCTTCATTCTTACACCACTTTTTTCTCAATGTGTAAGGCATTCTGATTCCTGAAGGAAACGACTGCGAGAAGGGGGGAGGGGGAGGAAGGAACGTTTGCTAAAGCCTCTGGGAAGGAGCCACAGAGTGGAGAAACCAAGACGAGTGTTGGGAGACGGACACGGCAATCACAACTTGCCGCTCCGACGCGTGCGGCGAGGGGCGACAGACCCGGGATTGCATCTGTTTATTGCCTGGAGCAGCAGAGTTCATGTGACTCCAAGTGGACAGAAGGCCGCATGCCAACTGGTATGGATCTTTTCCGCCCCTTAAACATTCGAGTTGGAAGGATCAGGTGAGGCAACTCGTCTTTAACGGGCACGGCGTCGCTCACCACGTTCATTCGACTGAAGCAGCGAAACTAATATGATTTCAAGCAAATACAAGACTCCATAGCGGTCGATACCGAGTTTTTCCATCTCATCTACACTTGAATTTCAAAAGACCAGGCAGGGAAACTCGTCCG